TTTACTTAACTAATTTAAATTAATTTCTTAGAACAAAACTGAAGTTGGCTAGGCTGACATCTTTCAACAATCACACAGCTTCGGTTTGGCAGTACTTCCAATAACGACTTGCATTTCACCCTCAGAGAAGTCTGAAATCTGCTTTTCTTAGGGAGATGGGTACCCTCACAGCAGACCTTGGCTTTCTGGGATGCACTGTCAAAGATATCAAAATGAGGAAATATGGACAGCTTTAATGTCGCCTTCACCCTATTTCTACCTCACAACCCCTCTCAGTTTGATAACTAGTATTTTGTGGGTTTTAAAGTCATGTGGGACAGTGTCTCAGGATGTCAAAAATAATTCTCTTTTCAACTGGCTAAAGATAATGGATCTGTTGAGGCCACATACTCTGAAAAAAAAACAGAAATCACTGTCCTCATTCTTCCTGCTTCAGGTAAGTTAGTTTGACCGTTTCTCTCAATTCCACTTACCCAGAAGCAGCAGCAGCTCTGGCTGCTGGAAGCCCAGGGAGGTGGTCACAGCTTTTTTCCTCACCCATTTTCATTTTGTCTGCTCCATCCCATCCCCATGGCACTCTGAAGAGACCTGGGCAATGCCAGCAGCCTTTGCTTTCCCAGTCTGGAACTTGGTGAAACTCTGCCAGTCTTCCAGCACAGACCCCTACCTACATCAATCCTTTTCCCTGCACTGGCCTTCACAAGAAAGCAGTGCAGACATTACAATCGGTGTTGCAAATTACCTCACATGACAATAAGGCTGAGTTCCTGTGGGTAAGAATCAAGGAAAAGCCAACAAGGCTGATGTTTTCTACAATCTGACAGCTTGTCCTCAGGACAAGTGGCCTCCTGAGCTGGTAGATGGGGACAGGGAGCACCCTGTTATTCAGGAGGAAGCTGGTGACCTGCTGAGCCTCTTAGATGCTCCCAAGTCTATGGGACCAGATGGGATCCATCCTAGGGTGCTGAGGGTGCTAGTTGAAGAGCTCACCATGCTGCTCTCCCATCATTCACCATCAGTCCTGGCTCACAGGGAGATACCTGATGGCTGAAGGTTGGCCAGTGTGATACCCATCCGTAAGAAGGGCTGGAAGGAGGATCCAGGGAGCTCCAGGCCTGTCAGCCTGACCTCGGTGCCTGGCAAAGTTATGGAACAGATCATCTTAAGTGTCATCACTTGGCACTCACAGCATGGATTTAGGAGGGGCAGGTCCTGCCTGACCAGCCTGATCTCCTATTATGACCAGGTGACCTGCCTGGTGGATCCAGGGAAGGCCGTGGATTTTGTCTACCTAGACTTCAGCAAAGCCTTTGACACCATCTAGAGGGTCCTGGACAGGCTGGATCCATGGATGAAATCCAACAATAAGAGGTTTAACAGGATCAGGTGCTGAGTCCTGCACTTTTAGCCACAACAACCCCCTGCAGTGCTGCGGGCTGGGGACAGAGCAGCTGGAGAAAGGCCAGATAGAAAGGGACCTCGGGCTACTGACTGATGGCAGACGGAACACGAGCCAGCAGTGTGCCCAGATGGCCAAGAAGGCCAATGGCATCCTGGCTTGGAACAGGAATAGTGGCCAGCAGAACCAGGGAGATCACTGTTCCTATGTACTTGGTACTGGTGAGGCTGCAGCTCAAGCTCTGTGTCCAGTTCTGGGCCCTTCAATTTAGGAAGGATGTCGAGATGCTGGGGCACATCCAGAGAAGGGCAACAAGGCTGATGAAGGATCTGGAATGCAGATCCTATGAGGAACAGCTGAGGGAGCTGGGGGTGTTTAGGCTGGAGAGGAGGATGCTCAGAGAAGACCTTATCACTCTCTACAACTCCCTGACAGGAGGGTGCAGCCAGGTGGGGGATCAGCCTCTTCTCCCAGGCAACAAGTGACAGAATGAGAGGACACTTCTTAAACTGCACCAGGGTAGGTTTAGGCTGGACATTAGGAAGAATTTCTTCACAGAAAGAGTGACTGGGCATTGGAATGGGCTGCCCAGGGAGGTGGTGGAGTCACCATCCCTGGAGGTGTTTAAGGAAAGTCTGGATGTGGCACTCAGTGCCATCGTCCGGTTGACCATGCGGTGTAAGGTCATGGGTTGGACCTGATCTCAAAGGTCTTTTCCATCCTAGCTGATCCTGTGATATTCTATGAGACAACATACCATTAAGGGCCCAAGGATACAAACAGAGGTTATTTTGATTGCTCGGGTGTGCACATTATTGGAACAGTGAATTCCAGCAAGGACTGATGCTAGTCCATAAGCAGCCAGGTTGGAGCTTTGTACCCAGGGAGCCGACAAGCTTTCTGTTTCTATGTTGCCACCTCAACAGCATTACATTTTTAAGATATGAAAAACTGTTCATGGCTAGAAGCCAAATTGCTTTTATTTTGCTTTTCCAAACCTGCTTGAAGCCATGAATTCATGAGCAACATAAAGGGAAGGGAAAAAAATATAAAAGGAATGTGGTTTGTATGATTATCTGTCGATTTCCCTGCCAAATGCTGAAGTTCTCATGTGCAGGCAATCCTCAGCAAATTAATTTCTCAAGTTCATGCAAATGCTCCTTTGTCACCAATACCCGATCCTCCTTTTCCAGGTAGCATATACGCAACAACCAACAATTTCAGAAAGTCCCACGGTTGTTCTCCTGGCACAAACATTTTACTTACTTGTTGCCATGTTAATCTGAGACGTTCAAATTGCTCCTTCCCATCTTCTGAGCAATCAGAGCAAGTAAATCTGAAAAAGTTATCTCCTTTGAGGTAGCTGAGCTGTTCTCTCAGTTGACCTAAAATGAAAAGGTAAAAATCAATGGTTTTGCCCTTTTATAGGAAAAAGTGCTGCAAATGAAATTTGGATTTCTTCCAAGATCAGGTTTGTCTGAACAAAAATGGCAGAAGCACTGTAAACCCCCATGCCCCCAAAGTTACAGGCTCTAATTCCCTGTTTCTACAGCCGAGGAAAAAAGATCAAATGAATCAGGGCTTCTAAACTCAGCAGGAGTTAATTTACACAAACACAAACAATTGAAAAATTACATCGGCGAACAGGGGAACTGTTAAGACTAGAGTGTCTCTGGAAAGTCACACTCAAAAGATGTTTCTCTGGAAGGATGTCATCTCTTTTACTGTGTAATGACACCAGATCAAGCATTTTTAAGATATGGATACCCGGCTTCCATACTGAATTGCAGAATTCAAGTTGCAACTGTGTCTGATAGGGGGGAAACCCCCCACACTTGGTAGATTAAGAGAATTTCTAAATGCCAATTCAATGTAAAAAAGTGATTATTTGCCTGAGCACTTTGGCAATTTTCACAAGTGACAACTGAACTCTCTAGATCTGAATAATTGGGAAAAAACACAGTATCTCCCTGTGACAGCTCGTTTACTCTGTACATTTGTATGTGGCTATTGTTGCTTTTCAACTGGCCTTTTCTGCTCCTTGGATTTGTTCCACAGCAACAGCAGAAAGGAACATACTTGTAAAATAAAACAAGTTGAGTGTTGAATCAAGTGCTCCAGCATGATACAGCTCATGCTACCTTTAACCTTGCTTCATTTTTTTAATTAATACATTTCAAGTAAATATTTCCCTTTACTGCATAGCAATTTAATAGTCTGCTGCTGGTTTCATTACATTAACACCTAAACACTCACTAACACGCCTTGAGAGGAGATTTTTACACTAAATTTTGGCAAATTCTAAAAAGGCAAAAAGGGCAGCTCTGACATATCTGCAAGGCAGGTGCCACCTAAACAGTTCATTATTTCTAACTACAAACAAACAAACAGCAACAAAAAAACAAAACCTCCAAACCAAACAAAAAAACCCCACCAAAACCAAAGCTAACCAGTGTTAAGCAATATCTGGCTTTTGGATGTAATAGTAGATCAGAGAATCCAGAATTTAGAAAGTAAAGTTGTCTATTACACTGCTAACAGTATGTACCTTACGTCAAGTGCCAGAAGAGAGGCATCAAATTCTGCAACTTGATCCTAACACCCCCCAGAGCTGGCTAGTGAAGGCTGGGCATGTTTCTAAGCCAACTTAAATTCACATTATTGGGAAAACACTAAGTTAAGATTTAGCCATATGCTCCACAGATGCGACAAATCAACAGGAAGGGGAAAAAAACGTAACACACAAAGTAATTTTCCTCCCCAGAGCTTTACAGTAAGGGTCATTATCTGAGTGAGCAGAGGTCAGGTCGTTTGGCCAAAGCCCCTAAACAGCTGCAAGAATTGTGAGGTGGGCATATTTCTGAACTTTAATGTTCTCTACTAATTGAAGAAGACAGTTTGACTTCCTCAGAGAGAGCACCATCTCTGGACACACACAGCTCCTGGACTGAAATGTCTAACACAGACCCTCCCAGCAGGCATCACCCACCAAGACAGGATGGCGTATAGCCTAACAAGCTGTGAAACGGAACACAGGACAGCATAAACACCTTGCAAAAACCCACCACGGCCAGGCACAACACAACTAGCAGCCTTACTTGCTGGGATCCACTTCTGGCACTTTTCACAGTAATAGGACATCTCCTCCATCCAGGACGCTTCACCCTCGTCGCTGTTCAGGGAGTCCCCACTCTGGTCATGCGATAAATCCACGGAAGCCTGGTCCTCGGACTCCACGATCAAGAGAGTCTCCCCTTCCACCTCGCCTTCCTCCAGGCCCTCGGAAGTGGAGGTCCTGGTGGCTTCATCGTCGTGGCGGCTGAGCAGCCCGCTCATGTGAACGTTGCTGGCCATCCTAGAGGGAGCTTGCACAATGAGCTGTTCCTCCCCACCTTCAATCCATCCACAGGGGCTGTGCCGCAGCCAAGTCTCCACAGTCCAAGTATCAATCACAGAGCATATGGGTTTTTGTCTGCCCTAATGCTTTAGAGCCTGGATTACAATTTATACAAAATAACCAGTCTTTCACAGATTACCGCTGTTTGTTAAAACACCAGCAAGAAGTGAGATGCAAATGACCTTCAAATCTCTTTAATCAAAGTTCTAAGGAGCCAGGCCTTTGCCTAAGATTGCTGGGAACGTCTTTCCATTAGCGCCTTGTCTCTCTCTTCCGTGAGCTGCTTTGTCAGAGCAATCTGCTCTTCTAACAGGCGAACGTTCTCCTTTTTCTGATTCTGACGCTCAAGATCTCTGACAACGCCACTTCGCAGCCTCTGAAAGCACAAGGGACAGGATTTATCACAGCCCGGGGGATGCTGATCGGGATCAACACCACCCAGCTCCACCCCTCCTGCAAGGCTGTTTCCTCTGCTGCCTTTGCAGGGTCTCTGCCACAGCAACTTAACGTAGTAGCCATCAGGAGACAATATCCAATTTTACTATACCAAAAAGTGCTTTATTTGCACTCACTTCAGATGGCTGGGCTTACTAAGTGACAAAGCTACTGAGCAAATAAATGCTAGAAGCCTGTAACTCCCGTGCCATGCAGGATGGATGTGATCTAAAAAATCCTGTTATCTCTGACCTAAATCTTCACCAAATCAGAATAAGCTTCTCTGCTTGGAGGCAATTTTGTAACAAATTGAAAACTATTTTAAGAAAAACTGGCATGTGTCTTCATTTGCTTCTTTCTGCTCATGTCTTAATCTTAAAAATGTGCCCACAGCCTGCTTAAGCCAAACTCCTGAAAAAGCAAGGCACTTGCTTAAAAAATATCCCCTTCACCTAAAATGTTTGTTATAAATCATGTAAATATATATGATATATATATAAATAAATAAATATACAATGTGCAAAACAACACCAGCAGCTTTCAACCTGGGGTGCAACCCCCCAATGGGTGTAAAAAGCCCCAAGAAAATCCTAGCTTCTCTTGGCTTTCTCCATATGCTTCTCTCTCTCACCTAGACATTTTTACTCACGCTGATACTTTGTTAATTAGGTGAAAGATCAATAATTTATTTGACCCACTTGAATGATGCCAAAATGCACCTGCAAATTATTTGAAAGCTGACCTTGAAATCACTTGAGAGGATGTTTGTAACTATTATTCAACAAGTCATCACAGGGTTTTGTTCCTCACCTAGCATGCCAATGACTGCACACTTCAAATGCAATCATTTCTCCTGCAAGGATCAAAACAGAAAGGTTTTGTTTAAGAAATAATTTTATCTTGTTAAGAAAATGCACAGACGCATATGTCAGCCAATAATCAAAACTCTCCAGAAATTAATCTAATAAAACCAGTTCCTTCCCACCAGCTTCCATCAGCTGAACTCAGGCTACAAATCAGTAATTTGAAACTGAACACAAAGATCATAAACTTATTATTACGTTACTATTAGTTAGTAACGATAAAGATGGGGGGAGATACAAGGTAATTGATCAATTGCACCAAGAATGTAATCCTTTTGCCTTCACAAAACACTGCAATCTTTCAGATACTGGATGTGATTACTTTGAAAATGCACACTTTGCAAAAGACACCTTTATCACTTGAGTGTCACAAGTGACAAAGACCCATTAAAAAGTTAATCTTCTCATCTTCCTCTGTTCTTGGAAGTTAGCCCTGATTGTCTTCTGCAGGCATGAAAAGCATGTGCAAGCTCAAATCACTCTGGCCTGGCACATTGATTTATAAAAGTCAAAAGTCTATTTATCTGCATAAAGAAAAACTTGAAATAATCTCTATGCTCGGACTACAAAATACCCACGTTATTTATTTCCATTATGTTATCTAAATAACTGGATCTGTTGAACATGAAGCCACTACTGCTTGACTTGGCCATGAAGAATTACAAAAAGAAAATCTCAGATTTAATTTATAAAACATATGCTTTGAGCCTTGGCCCTTTGAATAGGTATTAGCCAAGGATTTCGGACTAAAAGATCCATGAAGTTTAGGTGTCCCACTGAAACACCCAAGGGTGATGTTTATTCTGCAGCACATGTTCAAAGTACAACTGCCGTTAATTGCAGCTGCAGTTCAGTTTAAGAGAACTTAGCAGATATTCATGCCAGATCCCCAGTGGCTCAAGGCAGGCACACTGAATTAGAGAGCAGTCAGCTACAAAAATGTGATGTGCTCTACCTAAGATGTGTCAGGTGATCTACCCAGCAGATCCATCAGCTCTGGCAAGTGCACAGCTATTGCTGGTTGCCACTCCAGGATCCCAACTTTCCTCTCCTTGCTACTGCCTGTGCCATTCAGTGTTCTCCAACTCCTGTTCACACAAACCTGCCTCCTTCCTTACCCAGACCCGTCTCATCCTCCAAATTCCATCACTGTCAAGCACTGACAATCTCTTGAGGGAAAGAAAATATAATTCTCTACTTACAGAATGTATCATAAAGCCCAAGCAACAGCCAGCTCAGCTAGGCTATGGATTGGGAATTTGAACTCTGGTGTTCTGTAACTTCTGACTGCTTCAGTGTCATTTAGCACAGGGTTTTTCTGTGTGCATTTTCTAGATTTTTTTGTATGTAAATGGAGAAGGATCAGATGTGTGCCCTCATATAACCCTTAGCTCATCAGCAGGATCCAAACCAGCACACTCACTGCCCACACAGCACACCTTGACACAACCACACAGCTTTTAGTTCCAGGCAGGATTGCTCTGTGTTAGGACTCACCATGGTCAGACCTGACACCTTTTGGCTGCGGGTTCTCTGGACACAGGCTGCCTGCCAGGAATTCCCTGATTTTTAAATGCAGCACAGAGAAGTGCCCTTCTCAATTACCATGTGGTGTTTCTGACAGCTTGCACTGTGCCTGCCCTGGCAGAACAAGGGAGCAGAGGCCAAGGGGGGTGGCCTCGGCCTAGAGACTGCAGGATAACATCCACCTTGCATGCTGGCTGCTGAAGAGGGAGGGAAGCACCTGCACAGAGCCTCACCTGGAGTTCCTCGCTGCTGATTGCCCCTGAAGGGAAATGCACAGGACAGCATTAGGGAGCTGGTGCAGCTAAAAGAGTATGGAAAGCACAGGCGCCAAGGCAGGAAAATGCAGTGAAGCAGTAGCTTCTGGAGAGAGCACCATCGGGGGCAGTGCAGCCAAGGCAGCACCAGTAGGGCAGCGCTTGTCAGGGGCAGCTCTGGCCTCTGGGAGCCGGGCTGGGCACACGCAGTGCCCGCAGCCTCCTGTGCTGGGACACCGGCTGAGGCGCGGGTAGGGACAAGGAGCTGCGGGGATGGAAGGATGGATGGATGGATGGATGGATGGATGGATGGATGGATGGATGGATGGAAAAACAGAGGGACACGTGGGCTCAGGTGTGGGTCCGCAGGGTGCGGTGGGCGTGGCTTGGAGGTGGGCGTGGCTCCGCGCTGGCCCGCAGGTAGGGGCGGGGGAGGCCCGGCAGCCAGGTGAGGGGGCGGGGCCTGAACACGGGGGGGCGGGGTCTGCCCGGACAGTGGGCGGGGCCAAAGTGAGGGCCGGGGCAGGGCCCCACTCGTCACCTCCCCCCCCACAGCGCGCACTCACCTCCAGCTCCCGGCGCTGCTGGACGTGCACGGCCGCCACGATGGCGGCGGAGAGCACTGCGGAGACGGCCAGTGCCAGGCGGGAGCCCCGCGACATGGCGGGGGGGGACGGCGCGGGGCCGCGGCAGGGGAAGCGCCGGGCGGGCGGGGGTGCAGGAGAGCGTGAGGCGGCGCGCCCCGCCCCCGGCCGAGCGCCGAGCGCAGCGAGCCAGGCCAGAGCAGCCGAGCGCCGATGTGGGGTGGGGTGGGGCGGGGCGGGGCGGGGCGGGGCGCAGCGCCGTGAGGCGGGACTGGGCAAGCGGCTCCTAGGAGCAGCCGCTCTGGGGTTGGGTGTTCGCACCCTCCTGGCCAGAAAGTGTGTCATGGGGCGCTAAAAACGGGCCTTTGTTCCATCAGCGCCGCTGGGGATTGGGTGTCCAGCTGTGCTGCTGTCTCCCGGGGCTGTTCGCTGGAGGGGATGTTCGCTGGAGCTTCCTGCGGGCGAACACAAACAAAAGGAGGTTTCTTCTGCGTGCAAGAAACATTTCTGGTTTTGTCGAGTGAAGACCACCAATTCTGCGCTCTCCTCGCCCAGAAATCCCGAATTGCATGACAGAAGCAGCTGGAGAAAGCTGCTGTTCAATTGTTCGGTTTCTTCTCATTGTTCAGTGTGTGGCCTTAAGGCCTCGTGTTTGCCAGTTTTTCATGCTCTGAAGACAGAATTGTTCCCCAGCCCTATCTGCCGTGGAAGAGGGAAACCAAACACGTTAGGTTGATCCCTCCTCATTATAATGTTTTTCATATCTCTCCTGAATGAACATGATTAAAATGAAAGGTGAAATTAGTGGGAATTATAATATTTCAATTGAGTCTAATGGCTGTGCTCACGTTAGTGTGTTTACTGTTATTAGGGTTTGTGCATAAGTGCTTGTAACTTGTCCAAGGCCACTGGAGTGCCAAGAACGGGGTCGAGCCAGGAGCCTGGTGGATGGGAGCCAACACAGCGCCCTTGGCAGTGGGGAAGGGTGCAGCTCCACCCGAGTGTCTCTACCCAACCCTGTCATTAATCACTAGAGGGGCTAAAATCCCCAGGCAGGGAGCATTCTGGCTGCGCTTTCACCATCTCAGTTTCTGCTCTGGTGGTTCAGGTGTTCCTACGCTCCTCCCTTTCTCCCGAGGGCTGGGCCCTGATGAAGGGCTCAGCTCCCCTGCCCTGACCCTGCTCTGCTGCTTTGCCCCCTTTCCATGCTCTGGGATGAGAGGGGATCTTTTCCAAGCCCAGATAAGGAGCTGGTCTGATTTAAAACCTTTCAGCAGTCACGATGTGGAAAAAGCCCATTTTCCTGTCTCAGAGCTCGGCTGCAGGGGCAGGGAAGTGTGTGCTGCTGGGGAAAACCTTTCCAGCTGGTGCTGGGCACAAGGACACGGGAGAAAATTTCAGGCCAACAAACACAAGTCTGGTGGCTGTGTCCATGAGGCTCCCAAACGGAGAGACAGAGGATAGGCTTAAGCTAATGGACAGATGGAACAGGAGGGTTTCTCTGCTGGTGAAATCTGTGCTATGCTCATAGTTTTGGTGCACTCCTTCCTGTGCCTGGTTCCTCCTTTGCTGGCCTGGGAATAGCGGTGCAGCTGCTCATGGAGGTGGGGCCAAGCGGCCATGCGCAGGCGGGAAAGGGTTGGGTCACACTTGAAGGAGACTGGAAAGCTCAAGGCCATTTTTCCCCTGGGCAAACAGCTCAGATCTGGATAATGATCTTGGATAACATCTGCAGTCCATCTTCAGGAGGCATTTTTATCCTGTATTTCAAAGAAAATTCAGCTTGTGCGACCCCTGTGCCTCATCCACCCTCCACTGTCTTTTACAGGCATTTGACACCCTCTTTGATAAGGCTGCATTGCAGGCCCTGTCTCAGTAAGACTTCCATGTTTATTTCCCTGTTCCAACCGTTCTGATGGATGAGGAGGAGTTCTGGCTAGGCATTGTGTCATGGGTGGTTACTCGGGGTGGCATCTTGTGAAGAGAAGGGGTGCCAGTATCAGCTCAATCCTATATTACTACCAGAGAATCCAGAAAACAAGCTGCTCAGTTGTGGCTTGCCTTAGTAAAAAGATTGAAGCCTAAGGAAACCCCTGTAAGATATGGAAGAGGAGGAAGAAAAGTTTGAACATAGCCCATTTCCAGGTTCATGTCTTGAGCCACAGCCCCCTCCTGCTCCATTTGTCCTGTGTAATGTGAGGAACCAACCTCTCTTATCAAACTGCAAACAAAGAAAAAAAAATAATAATTTTAAAAATCATCCTAAAGGTATGTTTTCACGAAGCTTTCTCGGTTCCCCCCAGGGTTCTGGTGAGCTGCTGCCCTCTTTGCAGAGGCAGCTCTCCCTCCCTCACAGTGTGTGTGTGTGCGTGCGCACAGGCACACTCACACCTTGAGGAGGACTTTGCACACACCCAGAGCTCTCCACTGGGACACAGGGGCTTGGCAACCTCACTGGCAATGAAGACAAAAAAAACCAAACCTGAATTCAGTCTAACCCATGCTTCCATTTGCCCTATGAAGCTGAGTGTGGCTGAGAGTGGGTGTGGGTGGCTGCATGGCTTTGCTGAGGTCTTGGGATAGTGGCAGAGCTGAGGAGGGGAGCAGGCTGTTCCTGCTGCTGTTAGCATTGATTTTCGCCTTATGGCAGTTCTAATTATAGCAGCAAAACTAACTCATTGCTGTGTTGTAGGCACTTTTATCTCACTGTGATGCCTATTCCCATCTGAGAAACTGAATCGTTCCTGTCCCTCCGCAACAGGGACAGACCTGGCTGTGGCAGTGTAGGCATTGATGGTCCAGGTGCAGCCACCCTGACCCTGCAGGATATGTTTCTGTAGGATTTTCTGGCAGGGTCGTGTTGTTGGTGTTCAAAAGTGCATTATGCAGAGGAAAAAAATGTGATGTGCAACTTTTTGTGTCCCTCCTCTGTAATTCAGAGGGGTGATGGAGGGCTCCTCTGTGCCCAGAAACTCCAAAAATAGTTTTAATTCATGAAATAGATGTATTAAAAATGCTTTATTTTGACCAGGTCAGCCTTCTTTCTAGGCAGGTGGAGATGCGCCTGGCTTGGGTGAGTTTTGCATTTTGATGGGCATGAATGAAATAAAAGCCCTTGGAACTCATCCCCTCAGCACTTGCACAGAAAGAAGCTCCATGAACCTGTTCTCAGCAGGAGTTTGGATTAATTTTGTACTCCTCATTCAGACAAGCCCCAGAGCCCAGGTAGTTCTTCCCAGGGAGCTGGAGGGAAGCAAATCTGATTGTCCTGAGATTTGAATGATGGAGTAAAGATAAACTAGGAGGGAAGATGACAGAATTCTTTACGAGCAAGGAGCATGGAAACTTTCCTTCCTTTTGGAGGGCAGCCTGTGAAACAGTTACTTTGGATTTTAAGTTCGCCATGCACTTCCTCCTTCCAGCAGTGTGGGCAGGAGCTCCAGACAGCCACTACTGGATCCTTGCTGGTTTTATAGCCGGGCTTGTGTGATTACACGTTAGCCAGCCAGCCCCAGGGACGCCAGTGGGTCACCTCCAGCTAAATCAGCTAAGGTGTGGGGCTGCTACCAGGCACCAACACCTCAAATTGCCCTGTCTTGAGCAGGGAAAAGGGGCCCCCCATGATCCCAGACACCCCAAGCTCCTTCCCTGGCATCACCAGCATGAGGGAGTGAGGAGGAGGATCTAGATGCCGCCTCACCACCATCTCTCTCCCCACTTTCCCCATGGCATGGTTGGTCCCTGCCCCTCGTTTCCCAAAACTGCAGAGGGTACCCGACCCAGGGAGTGCAGCCTGGTTCCCTCCTGCAAGAGCTTCTCCTGAGAGGGGGATGAAATGCAGGCAGAGGCCAAAGTCTACCTGCTCTGCGGCAGGGAGAGGATGTAATCCCAGCATGTAATAATTATATTGGTGGCAATTGTACAGACCCTTGCCCGCGGCCGGTGGGAGGCGGGAACTGTGGCAGTGCTGCTGAGAGCTGAGGGCAGGGGTGCTTACTGGCTTAGGGTTGGGCTTTTTCTTTCCTGGAAATGGTTGTAAAAGGCACTGTGAGATCAAAATCTTGGGCATGGAACCCCAAAGTGCTGGCAGGGTAATTCTGCAGTAACCCTGCAGCTTGCAGGGCTGCTGCAAGACAGGAAGGTGTGGGGAGTCCTGGGCCCCAAAGCAGGGTGAGCTGCACTCCCCAGCTCACACCCTCCCAGGGCTCTCCCATGAGGAAGAGGGATTCTTGGGCTGCAGACACGAAGACAGCAAGGAGAGGAGAGCTTATCAGGGTATGTGTGGAGGGGCCAGAGGCACCCATGAGTTCTGCAGCCAGCACTGAACCCCCTCAGCGGTCAAACCAGAGCTGTAAGGAAAGGGGTCCAGCTGGAAGCGGCGCTACTGAGCTCCCTAGGCAATTACACAGGCAGCGGGTGTGTATCCTGGTGTTTCACTCATCCTGAACATGTTGGAGCACATGCTCTGCTGTAGCACAGGCGGGACAGGCAGGGAATCTCCAACAGCAGCGCTGGATACCCGTTGGGAAGCAGCTGTCCCCCTGCACACATGGCAACAGATGAGGAGCAGGAAAAGTACATTTCTAACATGGCAGTGTCTGAACAGGGACTGGGACATCCTGTCCCGTCCCTTGGCCCTGCCTGGAGCCGTTTTGTGCCCAGGCTGGCATCACCACTGTCAGTGGCCAAGGCTGTCCTGGTAGTCTTCCTTGTTAGGGAGGAGCTGAGAGGAGTGCTGAAGAACCACCTTCTCTTTCTCCTGCTGCCAAAACCCCAGGGAGCTGCACTGCCAGAGTGCTTGGCCGGGGTGGCAGCAATGGGATTGTCTCAGAGCACTCAGCTGGGGACAGTTATTCCTTCCTACAGCTGACCTTCTCTGCTCTTATCACTTCTTTCTCACTCTAATAATCCTGCAAAAGGAGGCTGATGGCAGGGACGGCACCTAGCTCCTCCTGGAAATTTTTGAAATGGTAAAGAAATGCTTGAACTCCATACGCATACAATGGGATTTATGGCAGCCCGTCATCTGGCAGGAATGAGGAAGCCTTGAGGGGGCCCCAGAGGTGCCATTTGTCCTT